CCTCGGCTGTACCTCGGCTGTACCTCGGCTGTACCTCGGCTGTACCTCGGCCATACCCCTCGGCTGTACCTCGGCTGTACCTCGGCCATACCCCTCGGCTGTACCTCAGCCTCACCTCGGCTGTACCTCGGCTGTACCTCGGCTGTACCTCGGCTGTACCTCGGCCATACCCCTCGGCTGTACCTCGGCTGTACCTCGGCTGTACCTCGGCCATACCCCTCGGCTGTACCTCAGCCTCACCTCGGCTGTACCTCGGCTGTACCTCGGCTAGGTCGGCCTCGACATGAAGCGCGTCGAGGTGCGGCCGTACGGCGTGTCCAAGGGCGCCGCCATCTCCCGCATCCTCGAGCAGCTCTCCGCCCTAGAAGCGGAACACGTACTCCTCTCTCACCCCAACCCTAACCCCAACCAGCACTCGAGAGGACACGCATTCCACTGCCTCCCGCCGTTCTCCTCTCTGTGTCCTGCACTCGCAGCCCCTCGTACGCACGCGCTGCTCTGACGACGCTGCACGGCACCGTAGTCGTGCCCTGAGGTTGGCGTATTCAGCACGCAGGCTCTCCGCGCGATGGCGGCTCGAGCAGCGGATCGAGTCGGAGGAGCGCCTCGCGCGGCTGACCGAGGAGCCCGCCGAGCGGCTCTCGCGTCGCTCCGGCGCCCTCTCCACTCTAAGAGGGCACGACTCTACGGCTGCACGAGTCTACACACGCCCGCGACTCCGTACGAGGTAGGCTCCCTCTCACCGGACGAGGACCCCTTCGGCCGCCCGCCGCGCGCCCACGAGCCGGCAAGCGGCCGCCACGCCCCCTCGTCCACATCTCCCCGGTGCGGCGGCGGCACCGGCGGCGCCACTTCCTCGTCGACGTCACCGCTCGCGGCGCGCGCGGCGGACGCGTCGGGCGCCGGCGTGGCCGCCGCCGCGTCGCCCGCCGTCGGCCCGAGCCGCGGCGGGCAGGCATGCGGCGCGGCAGCCTCGGACCTGCGCCCCATCCCGGCCGCGGTGCGCTCGCTGCCCGCCGCCGGCTTGCCGCTCCTCCTCACGCCGGACCCGTGCGCCAGCCCGTTCAGCGAGCGGTCGCCGCCCGGCTCGGGCGGCGGCACGCCCTCGCTCCGCCCCCAGCCGGCGACGTCGCCCTCGCTCGAGGCGTCGCGCGAGTCGAGCAGCGGCGGCTGCGGCGGCGGCGCGCCGTCCACCATCACCGGCTCGGCTCTCCCTAGAATGCTTGAGGATGCGGGACACAAGGGCTGCGCCGCGCACTCTCCCCGCCTCCCGGCTCGAGAACTACTGGCGCGCTCGAGATGACTGCGCACTCCCCCCCCCCCCCATTTGGCGTCGCGGCGGACTCCGCCTGACTTATTTGCCTAAGGGGTTCGCCGAATGCTCTAGAGGCGTCTCGGACAATGCATACGTGCGCTTCTCCAGGTCTCCTAGGAGGGTCTAGAGCCTGGACCAATTAGTTACCCCCG